GGATGGGTGTATTTGATGAAGGCGTTAGGCGGGAGATGGCAGAAGGAGAAGGGGATAAGCCATTTAGTTTCAAGGCTATTGACGTGGACAGTCAGAACAAGGGAGAACCCCATTGCAATTCTGCTCAGACTCTTGACAATGTGGAGCACTGTAATGACTGTTTGTGCCGTTGCTTCTGCTTGTGGTCCATCAGCGAGAAGACAGATCGATGCTGAGGGAGGCGAGAGCTTGGCTTGAGCAGTTTGAAAGAGACATCACGAGGATGCAAGTCGCCGAGGCTGGGCTCGAAGAGCGATACGAGGTGGGTCAGCACCATCCAACTCTTCTGTCTCTTCTCAGGGGTGGTCAAACCGATACAGGGACTCAACAGGCCGATAGAGAGCAACTACTCCTGTCTTGTTCAAGAATCCAGAATAAGGGAACGTGACCTTAAAATAAGAGTGAGGTCAGGTCAGGAGATAATTTACTCATAAAAAGTAGACATTTGTCCCTCTCTTCCCCCTTACAAGGCTGTGCATTCTGGGGCTGAATCTCAAGGCCTGAGATTCCTAGATTCCTGTTGGAATATGCATCAAGAGATATAACGATTCAGTGGAACTAAGGAACAAGTCAGCTACAAACTAACAATAGATTTGAGGGTCTGAACGATCTCCTGTTCCTAAAGACCTTGCCAGTTTTCTCCCATTCTCCCCTTTAATCTTTCATGTGATGTGGGCATTGCTGGCAAGGCCAGGAGTTGATCCCCAACCTGATTATCTTTGAACTAAGTGGGTTATTTCAGAGGGCTGCTAAGAGTCAATTAAAGGGCATTAATGGACCAGATTAATAGGTGATATCTGTCATGGTTATTACTATTGGGACTGCTCCTCCAGAGTTATGAGCTGAATTTAAATTCCACATGTTACCTTGGTGGGACCTGAACCACGTCCCTAGAGACTGAGGTCAGTGAGTTCAGTGGGAGTGGAGCTTGTCCCTTAGATCATGATCCTGGCCTTCTGGTATACTAGCCCAGTAGGATTACCACTACACCACTGTCTCTGTTGCATTTCCACATTGCACCGTGATGGACCATCAACCCCTCATCTGCGTGGTCAATAGCCATATGTTTATCGCAGTGCTAAGTGTCCACAGATTCATTGACACTAAGCAGGAAGAGGTGCTCATTACTGAGGGCCCCTGCTCGAATTTCTAAGGAATTGGAATGGGAATTGGCATGGGAATTGGAATGGGAATTGGAACTCTCTACGAGCAATTTTGCCTTCTGCAGCCAGGAGGTGCTGAAGACAGCACTAACCAAGACCAGGGCATTCAAACCCTGCACTGACAGGATGAATTCTCATGAGCTGGGAGGTGGAGGGGCCGTGGGGAGATGGGAAGGGCTCCTTTATTTCTGATAGATTTACATTCCACCCAACTGCAACTGTGACGAGGCTCGAGCAGTTCACCAATGTCCGGGTCAAAGCACTTGGCATGACGGGTGGCCCATTTGCCAATGCTGACTCCCTCCTGTGCCAGTGCACTGAGGCTGCAGGGTGTACCATCCACAGGAAGGTCCACACACACACACACACACCTCCCCCTACCTTCCCAAGGGCAATTAGGCACCAAAACCAACAGCTACATCTCAAGCCTGGATTTGTAAGACATCCCCATCGTTTCTAACTGCCCGATATCTTTGCAGTAAGAGGAGGAGTGAGGGTAGAGAAGGGAGGGCAGTGAAGGCTCTGTTTCAGTAATTGTAGTCAGTTAATGCAGTTTCATCCTCACTACCATCTCTGCTCAACTGGCAGAGGATTTGCTGTTTAACTGGACAACTCTGCATGGTTCTGAAGCCTATCCACAATTGCACACTGAGAGGAGGTCAGGGTGTGTGTGTGTGCACGCGCGTGTGTGTGTGTGAGGATGAGGCAGTGTGTGTGTGTGTCTGTATGTGTGTGTGCGTGTGTGTGTGTGTGTGTGTGTGTGTGTGTTAATAAGTTAGTCACCATAACCCTACCACACTGTAGGGTCGCTCTCACCTCAGAGAGAGAGACGACTGGTGATGGTTTAACCTGAGGGTCAGCATGCCTCAGACGAGGGGAGAAGGTGAGAGAGAGAGTGCTTCATGGTAACCTCAGCTGGTGCAGGAATTGAACCCACACTGGCATCACTCACCAGCCATCTATGCCAACTGATTGCCTCATGTATTAATGCAACAATTATTTCCTGCTTTGATTTCTTCGCTCCACATTTTTCCTTAGCTGTTCAAAAGTTTTCAAGGCCAGTATGAAGCTAAAAAGAAGCATGTTGAAGTTTTAATTCAACCTGCACAGAAAGATGGGAAACTGTCGCTGGATCAGGTCACAGTGAAGCAAGTCTGGGAGAGAGTGTCAGCCAGGGTAAGTTTTCAGAGAGCGGACTCAGCAAGGTCCTACCTCCGGTCTTCTCCTTTCCCTGCTAATTTTTGTCTGTGGTACCATCTGATGATTTGCAGTCGGGATGGGTGCAGGAAGTGACACCCTTTTCGAGATGGTTGTTAGCTATGCAACTCACGTTTCTAGATGGTCACAGACTTTGCACGTCTAGCAATGCCTCTGTCTTGTGAGCTTCTTCTCACAAATTTTTATTCCATCCTTGTGCCTGAAGTTAGATGAGCCTGTAAAATAAACAAGGAAGAAATTATACTTAAACAGAATCCTTTTCATCTTCACAATTGTTTCTTTTCGAAGTCACCGCCACAGTGTAGATAAACAGAAGCCAGCAATGACGGACCAAGATCCGACAAACAATGAGATGACCAAATGACAGGGCCTTGGTTTTTTTGGTGGTGTTGGCTGAGGGATTAATCTCCTCAGTAAAGGGGTCAATGGCCTGGGCCAGAATTCTAAGATCAGGAGGTTTGGAGAGCTTTTGAGGAAAATCTCTTTCGCCCAGTAGGTGGAAATCACTGCCTTTTAGTTTGTAGAGGCAGGAACCCTCAAGACATTTAAAAACTATTTAGAAGAACATTTGAGATGCCACAGGACATGAGGCTACAGGCCAAGGATGTGAGGCTAGGATGTTTGACGACCAGCATAGTACAGTGGACTGAAAGGTCTTTTTCCAAACTGTAAGAAACTCCATGAATTTTATCCAGGACAGAACTCTGTGCTCTTCTACAGGTAGCGCAATAGGATCATTTACATCAGACTAACATATCCAGTGGATCCCCAACAGTGCAGCACTGTCTCAGTACTCCAGTGAAATACCAGCCCAGGCTAAGTGGCAGGAGTGGGACTTGAACTCTCGATCTCCTACCAAGGGGCTAATTCATTGACTTAAGCTGACAGCAAATAACCAGCCTCCCTGATGTCAAAACTCCTTTAAGGGACTTAAAAGCAGTTAATCAAGTTAAAGTAGATTAAAGCAAATAGAACCAAATAAGCCAAATTAAAAGGTGCTCGTTCCTTCGGGCGGCACCCTAACAATATTCAAGAATCAAAATTTAAATGAACAAATTCAAATGAAAATATAATTTCATTGATTGACCATGTAGTGCAGCCGCAGCGGGGGACCACCAGCATTGAATCTTTGATATTGAACATTTAGAATCTGGAATATGTGTGAATGTGGATGTGGGAGAGATACGTTTCTTCCCCCATATTTATTTCTCAGCACTCTCTAACATCCTCAGCTAAACCGAGAGTTTGAGCGGCTCCCCCATTATGGCCTGGATAGAGTTTTGAAAAGGTCCCCCCCATTTGCCTTTCACATTGTGCATTTAATCTGTTGGAAGTGGGCAAATTATCAAAACCATCTTCATGGGCTCAGGACACAGGAGTTTGTTGTTACCAATCTGATTGCACTACACACACGGTGGCTCAGTGGTTAGCACTGCTGCCTCACAGCGCCAGGGAGCCTCAGGCAACTGTCTGTTTGGCGTTTGCACATTCTCCCCGTGTCGGCGTGGGTTTGCTCTGGTTTCCTCCCACAGTCTAAAGATGTGCAGGTTAGGTGGATAGGCCATGCTAAATCACCCATGTTATCCAGGGATGTGCGAGCTTGGTGGTTTAGCCATGGGAAATGCAGGGTTACAGGGATAGGGTAGGGAGTGGGGGAGTGTGGGTTTGGGTGGGATGCTTTTCGGAGGGTCAGTGTGAACTTGATGGGCCAAATGGCCTGCTTCCAAGCTGTGTGGATTCTGTTATGGGCAGCGAGCTGGTATGATGCCAGTGAGCCCAAGTTGCGCTTCATCTGATTGCAAGAAATAGGCTGAAGAAGGGTCTAGACCGGAAACGTCAGCCTTCCTGCTCCTCTGATGCTGCTTGGCCTGCTGTGTTCATCCGGCTGTACACCTTGTTATCTCAGGGTGCCACATGCTTGTTTTTCCTTCCTTAGCTTCTGGACTGGCATATCATGCTGGACAAGTCACTCCCTGCGCCCCTGGGAACCATCGGAGCCTGGCTGCACAGAGTGGAGACTATTCTCGGGGAAGAAATTGTCATCCAGCAAGCCCACGACGAAACGGCCAACATCATCCACAGGAAACTGGAGCAGCACAAGGCAAGATTGCGGTTGGGAGAGGGGTGGGGTGGGAGTGGAGTGGGGCAGGGTGGGAGAGGGTTGGGGTGGGAGTGGGAGTGGGGTGGTGGAGGACGTGTCGGGAGCCATCGCTGGGGAGTGCCAGGCCTTTCATCATGGGACAATCTGCAATTGGCATGCGATCCTGGTCCTCTGGCGCTCCGCTACCACAAGCCAAGAAATCTTCACCCAAACCCAGTTTGCCTGCTTAGAGCCAGGACCCTGTGGCAAACCGTGCAGAGAGAGGAGAAAGGAGTCGAGGCATAAATTCACAGGAAGGACCTGGGCTGATTGATTGTTGATCGGCATTCAACTCCATTAATGTTAAAACATGTGAATTTTTAATCTGGCAGACAGAAAGTAAGAATTTTTAGAGGCACAGGAGAAGGAGCTGGCTTGTTAGTAAGGGCAAAGAAGGTAGAGTAAAGGGTGGTGTGGTGACTCAGTGGGAAAATGATCCATCCGTGTTTGAAAATTCATCATGTAAACTTCTCCCCTGCCCCACAGAAGCTGTGCGCCCTGCTGAGTATTTCCAGCATTTTCTGTTTGTCCCCCTTACATGATTATGTATATCACACGAGGCCAGGGACATTATATTACCAGTGCTAGGCAACGTTGGGTTAATTTAAACCAACAGTGGCTTTACCAGGTTGTGTTCACAGCTCATGTGTTCAATCGTTGTTGGTTAACAAGACCAGATTTAAGTTGTGTTTCACTCTGCAGCCTTAAGGCTTTCATAGCATAGACCTACAAATCCAGAATCAGGCCATTCAACCCAACAGGTCTATGCTGAGGTCAACCACAGAAACAAAGAGAGGGTATTAGCTTATACTGTTACCCCATAGTGAACTAGTTTGCGATAGCATCCTGAGACTGCATTTCCAACTGGTATATACCAGTCATCTCAATTGAGACTGAGTGGTGTGGGTGACCATGGGTTCACTCTGTGTCAGCGCAATTTCTCCTTGACTAGCAATGTTTGAGGCAGAACTTGCATTTACAGACAATGAATGACTTCTGGAGTACACACATTATTTTGGACAGAGCTGGGTCCCACAAACACCAAGTAAACTGCCTTTGATCAAGAGATGGATATTGGCCAGGACTCCGGTGTTCTGGGATCTTTATTATCTGTGAGCATCGGCTAGGCCCTGGTTCATCATCTCAGCTCTTACAGCTAGGGCAGTGCTGCACTGGAGTGCTTTCATGTCTCTGGAGGGGGTCTTGAATCCCAGTAACCTCCTGAGTCTGAGCTGAGTCTCTTACTCTCCACAATAATCTCAGATCTCAATGCTGGGGAGCACTTTGGATCTTGCCAAGTTTCAACTTGAGACAAAATTGCCTTGTCTCAGTCCATAGAGCCATAGAGACATACAGCACGGAAACAGACCCTTTGGTCCATCTTATCCATGCTGACCAGAAATCCTAAATTAATATAGTCCCATTTGCCAGTATCCCTCTTCATGTACCCATCCAGATGCCTTTTAAATGTTGTAATTGTGCCAGCCTCCACCACTTTCTCTGGCAGCTCATTCCATACACGCAACATCCTCTGCATGAGAAAGTTACCCCCTAGATCCCTTTTAAATCTTCCCCCTCTCACACTAAATCTATACCCTGTAGTTTCAGACTCCCCCAAGCCAGGGTAAAGACCTTGGCTATTCACCCTATCCATGTCCCTCATGATTTTATAAACTCTATAAGGTCACCCCTCAGCCTCTGACACTCAAGGGAAAATAGCCCCAGCCTATTCAGCCTCTCCCTATAGCTCAAACCCTCCAACCCTGGCAACATCCTTGTAAATCTTGTTTGAACCCTTTCAAGTTTCACAACATCTCTCCTATAGCAGGGAGACCAGAAGTGTATGCAGTATTCCAAAAGTCACCTAACTAGTGTCCTAAATGGTCACAACATGAACCTCCCAACTCCTATACTCAATGCACTGACCAATAAAGGCAAACATACCAAACACCTTCTTCAGCATCCTACCTGCAACTCCACTTTCAACCTGCACTATGAACCTATGAACCTGCACTCCAAAGTTTCTTTGTTCAGCAACGCTCCCTAGGTATTTATCATTAAGTGTATAAGTCCTGCCTTGATTTGCCTTTCCAAAATGCAGCTCCTCACATTTATCTAAATTAAACTCCATCTACCACTCCTTGGCCCATTGGCCCATTTGATCAAAGTCCTGATGTACGCTGATGCAACCTTCTTCGCTGTCCACTACACCTCCAATTTTGGTGCCATCTGCAAACTTACTAACCATACTCCTATATTTGCATCCAAATCATTTATATAAGTGACAAAAAACAATGGACCCAGCACCGAAATTTGTGGCACACTGCTGGTCACAAGCCTCCAGTCTGCAAAGCAGCCTTCCATCACCACCCTCTGTCTTCTACCTTCTAGCCAGTTCTGCATCCAAATGGCTAGCTCTCCCTGTATTCCATGTGATCTAACCTTGCTAACCAGTCTACCATGAGGAACCTTGTGAAACACCTGACTGCTCTGCCCTCATCAATCTGCTTCGTTACTTCTTCAAAGAACTCAATCAAGTCAGTGAGACACGATTTTCCATGCACAAAGCCATGTTGACTATCTCTAATCAGTCCTTGCCTTTCCAAATACGTACAATTCCTGTCCCTCAGGATTCCCTCCAACAACTTGCCCACCACCAATGTTAGGCTCACCGGTCTATAGTTCCCAGTCTTTTCCTTAGCACCTTTCTTAAATAGTGGCACCACGTTAGCCAACCTCCAATCTTCCAGCACCTCACCTGTGGCTATCGATGATAAGAATAGCATAGCAAGGTTGTTGTTGTCCTGCAGCCAGTATGGAGCCTATAGGAATCGGGGACTAATCTACCTCCTCAAGGTTCGAATTACCTGTGAAGTCACACCCAGAGCCCAATCCTTTGGCGATATTGTGCATTTAAAGCGTTAGTAGCTGCTTTTTCCTGTTCAAGAGATCTAAAGAGCGAGTTATCCAGAGTAAAGCTTCACTTTGATCATTTTCCAGCACTAACTTGTATTTGTTTTCTCGCCAGGATGTGATAAAAGCGTTAGAAGGTCACAAACAAATATTCCACCAGATCCACAGGGCAGGGTCAGTGAATGGGGTCCCGATCCCAGCAGACCAGCTGGAAGATGTAGCAGAACGGTAAGTATGGCTGTTGTCAGTAAATCCTATGAAGTCGGTATCTGAATATCACTGCATCTGGTGAAACAGTGGGAGCCGTAACCTTTTTCTCATCAGCGACTATGACTTATTTTTATGTTAACTTTGGAAGAGGGTTGGGCTGCTATTAATGCTGAAGGTAAAATGACCTGGCGACTGAGAGACTGATGCATGTCCTGCTGTGTCTGTGAGGGACTTGACAGTTTTTGAGATTTTGCAAAGGAATACTGATTGAGCTGATGCTGATAGCTGGTAGAAGAAAGGACAGTGAAACCCTGCATTTGTATAGTGCCTTGCATCAATCCTCACAATGTCTCCAAGTTGTGACGTAAGCAGCCAACCTGTACACAGCAAGATCCCATTAACAGCAGCAGAATGAAGTTGATAATCTCATTTTGTTGAGCAATGCACATTGACCTATCCAAATGATGCTGAGCCTAGATGTGTTATTTTGATTTATCCTTTACAACCTCTGCAGTGGTATAATGGGAAGGCTCATGGCTCCCTGACATGAGCAACCCATGTTGCGTCCTGGTGGTTGCACCTTCCCATCTTCAGCCTTGGGTAGATTTTTCCTTTCAGTGCTGTTTGTTGAATCCATCGCTCCATTGGGTAGAATTCTTGGCTCTTTGGTCATGAGTCTGAGCCCTACTGCAGAGACTTGAGGACAGTGTCCGGCTGGAGCCCGAACGTAGTGGCGAGGGAATTTTGTACTGTCTTGAGGCACAGTTCCTTGGGTGAGGCGTTGAAAACGTTAGTCCCTATCTGCCCTCTCGGGTCAAAGATTGCATGGCGCCATTTTGAAGGAATGTGGATGAACTGACTCTGCCAGTGCAAGTTTCCAGTTTCCTGGCCAACATTTATCTGTCAAACATTGTCACGCAAACAGATGTTTTCTTCATTAGCACGTGGTGGATTGTTGGATCTTGCTGTGCACAAATTAGACACTTCCAATTCTAACAGGACAACAGTGACTGCATCACTAAATGGTTGTGGAGAGTCATAGAGCCATACAGTATAGAAACAAACCTTTCAACCCAATTCATCCATGCCAACCAGGTATCCTAAACTAAACTAGTCCCATTTGCCTGCATTTGGCCCGTATCCCTCTAAAACCTTTCCTATCCATGTACCTGTCCAAATATCTTTTAAATGTTGTAACTGTACCTGCATCTACCATTTCCTGTGGCAGCTCAATCCATACACGCACCACCCTCTGCGTGAAAAAGTTACCCCATGGGTCCCCTTTAAATCTTTCCCCTCTCACCGTAAACCTATGCCCTCTAGTTTTGGACTCCCCTACCCTTGGAAAAAGACCACATTTGCAACATTCTGAGATCATTAAAGGCACTGTCTAACTACAAGCTTTCCTAGCAGATGCTAATTATTCCCTGTTTTTATATCTGCAACCTTTGGCCGTGGTATGGCCCCAGTGATAACCTCACGTCCACTTGCTCTCCCCAGGTTCGAATTCATTACAACTGCATCCAAGCTCCATCTAACGAGGCTGGACTTCCTGGAGTTGAAATATCGCCTCCTGGCCTTCCTGGTGCTGGCTGAAACCAAACTCAAATCGTGGATCATCAAATACGGCAGAAAGGAATCCGTGCAACATCTCCTCCAAAATTACATTGTGAGGAATATTTCAGTGATAAGTGGAGGGGAGGGCTTGTAGCACGTCCTTGCCTCTAGTTCTGTGGCCTCATTTGTTGGCCACAGGAGATGCGTTCATAACATTTCTACAAACATTGATTCTGAACCTGTAGGTCTTTCTGATACACCTCTGGAAGCTGGTGAGAACAGGAGTGTCTCTAGACACTTGACCCAGAAACGTACCTCTCAAGCCAACGCCTCTGGGGTCAGGCTAGTGCCCTGTCCTAGGTAAAAGATAGCTGTTTGGGCAGCTATTTAAGCAGCACGGTGGCTCAGTGGTTAGCTCTGCTGCCTCACAGCGTTGGGGATCCTGGTTCAATCCCACCCTCGGGCAACTGTCTGTGTGGAGTTTGCATGTTCTTCCCAACTCTCCGGAAGCTCCAGTTTCCTCCCACGGTCCAAAGACGTGCATGTTGCGTGGATTGGCCATGCTAAATTGCCCATAGTGTTCAGGGAGGATGTGTAGGTGGATTAGCTATGGGTAATGGGGATTTGGGGGTGGGGGGTGTGTCTGGGTGGACGCTGTTTGGAGAGTCGGTGCGGATTTGAGGGGCCGAATAGCCTACTTCCACGCTGTAGGGATTCTGTGAATTGACCGAGAGTAGTATCTCTCAAGTCATAGTGTCTGAAGTCAGGCTAGTGCCTGTCCTAGACAAAAGAGAGCTGTTTGAGCAGACATAGGCATATGCTTTATCTGCCTCATGTGCCACGATGTTTGGCAAGTGAGAAGAATGAGATGAAGATTATATTCAGGAACAGTGCAGCAGTCTGCATCTACATTAATGGAGGTAATGCCCATGATGTTGTGTTCGTGATCATGAGTTCAATCTGTTGTATTTGTCCCTAGTTAGAGCCTCTATCTGGGAGACTGTGTTTAGATTTGAGCACCTCAGGAAGGATACATGGACCTCGAGCGTAGTGCAGTGTAGGTTCATCAGAATGACATTTGAGGCTAGAAGGGTTAAATTGTGAGGGCAGGTTGCATTAACTTAGCTTGACTTACATCGCATAAGGAAACTCAGGAGATTAGCAAAAAACAGTATGATGGAAATCAGAAGCAAAAACAGAAATTGCTTAGAAAAACTCAGCAGGCCAGCAGAGATGATCTGTTAAGTGTTTCAGATGATCAGAGGATTTGACAGAAAATAAAAAAACAGAAAGTGCTAGAGAAACTCAGCATGTATGGCATGTCTTTGGAGAGAGAAACAGAATTAACGCTTCGAGGTCAATATGACTTTTCTCTAGAACTGGAAAGAAATTGACTGCGAGGTGGGAGGGGCTGTTCCAGAGCCAAGGGATATTCCCTTAATATTACAGCCAGGCCATTCAGAATGCAGAACAATACAGCACAGGAACGGGCCCTTTGGCTCACAATGTTGTGCCAAACATGACACCAAACTAAACTAATCCCTTCCGCCTGCTCTCGGTCCATATCCCTCCATTCCTTGCATATTCATGTGCTTATCTAAAAGCCCCTTAAATGCTCCTATCGTATCTGCAACCACCACGACCCCTGACAGCATGTTCCAGAATCCTACCACTCTCTGCGTAAAAAACTTGCCCCTCACGTCTCCTTTGAACTTTCTCTTCAGTACCTTAAATGCTTGCCCCTCCTAGTATTCGATATTTCAACACTGGGAAAAAGATTCTGACCGTCAACCCGTATCTATGCATCTCATAATTTTATAAACTTCTATCAACTCTCCCCTCAGCCCCTGCCACTCTAGAGAAAACTACCTGAGATTTTCTAGCCTCTTCTTAAAGGTGATACCCTCTAATCCACGCAGCATCCTGGTAAATCTCTTCTGCACCCTCTCCAAAGCCTCCACATCCTTGCTGTAATGTGGCGACCAGAATTGAATGCAACCATATAAGCAAAGGGGCATTCCCTTAATATTAGAGGCGGGCCATTCTGGGGTAATGTCAGGAAGCTTTTCTTTACAAAAAAAACACAGGGAGCGGAAATCTGGAATATTCTCCCCTCAAAATCTCGTTGAGATCCTGCACAACTCCTCTCCTTCACATTCCCACTTGACTGAGTGGCATCAGTCCATTAGTCATTTTTTTTTTCGAAGTAAGCTTTTGTTTTTAGTGACTTGTATACAGGACTCCCAAATTCCATTGACAACTTTGATCTTTCCCTGCAGTCATTTGTCGAGGGCAACAAGTTCTTTGGACACTATGAGGTCACCTTCCAGTCTCTGAAGCAGGCAGCTGATGCCTACCTGAAGGTTGAGGACTCAGGTAACTGCTTGATGCTGATGTTTCTCCTGCGCTCTGGGGGCCGACATCTTTGCCTGTATCCTCTGCCCGCTGCACTCAGGGGATCTCACCCTGTCATGTCTTGCCCCTGTAGCCGAAGAGCGAGAGAACGTCAACAAGTTCCTGAGCGACTCGATGGTACAGTGGCGCAACCTGTCCGTGGAGGTGCGCAGTGTGAGGAGCATGCTGGAGGAGGTACTTACCAACTGGGACAAGTATAGCAGCACAGTGGCAGCTCTACAGGCTTGGCTGGAAGACGGGGAGAAAATGCTGAACCAGCCAGAACTCGCCAAGAAGGTAAAGCCGTATGATGGGAGTATAATCATCCCTGCCACCTCTGGGATGTAGAGTCATCTCGTTTCAAAAAATCTTTTCTTTTTAAAAACAACAACTTAACAATCAATGACATGACAAAGTGAAGGGGTACAGGAATAGCAGTGAGCAGGTACAGGGTAATAATGGGCTGGAAAGGGGCAATAGTGAGTGGGTAGCAGGCAGTGGTGAGCTGGTGATCATGCATTAACATAGGGTTCATCGCGAGCAAATGCAGTATCGTGATCAGTTGGAAAATAGTGTACTGTGATAGTGAAAGTAGGGGAACTAGTACAGGGTTATAATGAACTGACATATGATAACAGTGACCTTGTGTTAGTTAATAGCAAGTTTGTATGGAGGTTACAGTAAATTGAACTGGCAGTTAGTGTAGAATTGACTCCCTTGTGAATATCACATGATGCTGACACACATTGATATCAGAGTCAATAGAGTGTGGAGCTGGAGGAACGCAGCAGGTCAGGCGGCATCAGAGGAGCAGAAGAGTCGACATTTCAGGTTTACACCCTTCACCAGGACTGAGGAGGGGGAAGGGAGCTTGGAAATAAATAGAGGGAGGGGGGCTGGGGCTGGGGGAAGGTAGGTGGGATGGTGATAGATGGATGCAGGTAGGGGGCAGTGGAGATTGTTCAGTGGGATGGGTGGGGCGGATAGTTGAAAAAGGAGATGGACAGGTTGTGTCAGGTTAAGGAGGCGGGGGTGAGAGGGAGGGTTGAATATGGGTTGAGGCCGGGGTTGGGGAGATTTTGAAACGGGTGAATTTTATGTTGAGGCCATCGGCTAACATTGTGAATATGAACACTTGAAATGAGTTGGGAGAGATCCAGGAACAGTAAGAGTAGGGCAACTCAGTTTATATTTTTGGTTCAAATGCTCATACATGGAAATTAAGGGCTTAATCTGGACGATGAACTTGCAGGGATCCCAAAATCAGCTCAAAAGAACAAGCTATTTCAAGGGCAAATCATGTTCACTGTGAATTGAGTTTCTGCAATCATTAACATTGATTTCAAAACCCTGTTTGGAAAACTGAACACACATCAGATTGAATCAATCAGCATCCTGAGTTTCTGTCCTTTGTACCCCTCTGTAAACCTACAAGAAGTGTCTTTAATTTAAACATACTTCAGGATGCAGGCATATCAGTGTTTTTAAAATGTTTTTAAATATTACATTTTTAATTTTGAAAAATTAGTTTAATTATTATATTTAACATTTAATTTCTTCAGGTAATTAATGCCTTTTCTAAAGTTATTTTCACAGAATTAAGATCAGGTTACTCAGTGGCAGGTGGATTTCTGACATTAAATCTGTTTGTTTTTAATGATAAACTCATTTGCAGCCCCATGTGTAACCCTACAGCAGGTTACCACTCTGAAACGTTCCAAGGAATATTCTTATCAGAAAATAGTAGACAATTCCATTCTACAAAGCAGGTTCGTGGAAGATTTTACATTTGTGACTATGCAAATAGCATCAGTTGGAAACTTGCATCGTAACTTAGCTTTGAAAAGTAAATGCAATTTTCCGCACAGTCCATGCCTGACCGGCTGACTGTCCATCACAGATATTCAGCCCCGGATTATACAGCCCAAATGTGCTTAAGTAGCAGATCACTCACGACCACCTCTTCAGATAAGTGATTTTGGAGTAAAACCGTTGCAGCTCTGCAGGCAGATATGGTAGCCCTGACATGCATAGCAAGATCCCACTAATGATGGCTCGTTGAATGCCAATGTTAACCTGCCTTTGGTAGCGGTTGAGAGGGATGAATGTTAACTTGAGGTACTCGTTTTTCCTCACTTGCACTGTTTGACATCGTACCAACAGGGCTTCAGTACATTTTATTCAGAAAGCCAGAACCCCTGAATGTCCATCTTTTCCTCAGTGACACAGAACTGAGGCCATTGGCTCGAGCGCTGGAGCAAAACTTATTGGCTTCGGGTTGCAACACCCAAGGCTTCACTTTAAGAAGGTTTGTTGTCTCCCGATGTCCTAGGCAAAAGGTAAAAGGGAACTTTGGGCTGTTGCACCAATTGCTCACGTTTAACATTTGTTATTTATATGTTTGTGTTTGAAGGACTTCTTCCGACACCTCCCTCACTGGATCCAACAGCACTCTGTCATGAACGACGCTGGGAACTTCCTCATTGAGACATGCGATGAGTCAGTCTCTCGAGATCTCAAACAGCAGCTACTCTTATTGAATGGGCGTTGGAGGGAGCTCTTTGTCAAAGTGAAACATGTAGGTTGACCTGAGTCCAATTTTACCTCCTTTTAGAATTGTACGTGGCTGGAGTGCTGAATGACATGTGAGAAAAGGACAAGTTTGTTAGGCCCTGTGTTCATTGCTGTAGAAAGAGTGGACGAGGGCACCATTATTATGTTTGTGGTCATCACCAGAAAGGCCGGCAATGATTCCACAGCCTTTGTTGCCTTTTGAAGATGACAGTAATCCTCCTTCTTCCATCAGTGGAGTGGTTTGTTAGGTCTCTTCAGATTACATTAAAAGCCAAGCGTGTTGTGTTGGACTGGAGTCACATGTGCGCTCAGGTCCAAGGAGACATGGCTATTTTGCCCTGAAACAAAAAGATTCCTTAGGTTTTTACAACGCATTTGGCAGTTTTCAGGAAAGGACCCTTTTTGTCATCCAAACATGGTAGCTCGGTGGTTAGCACTGCTGCCTCACAGCGCCAGGGACCTGAGTTTGATTCCACCCTCGGGTGACTGTCTGTGTGGAGTTTGCACATTCTCCGTGGATTTCCTCCAGGTGCTCTGGTTTCCTCCCACAGTCCAAAGTTGTGCAGGTTAGGTGGATTGGCAGTGCTAAATTACCCGTAGTATTCAGGGATGTGCAGGGGAGGTGGATTAGCTATGGGAAAATCTAGGGATGTAGAGATAGGGTGGATGCTCTTCAGAGGTTCAGTGTAGACTGGATGGGTCGAATTGCTTCTTTCCACACTGTAGGGATTCTATGATTCTAAGTAGAACTTTGAGAAATGATGAGATGTAGCTGTTGAATCAGAACACTTCGTGAAAATCACTTAATAGTCACCACTATTTAAGGATGCAGCAGGCCATCATTAAAACCATTGCTTTAAGACATTGTACGAGGGGCTCCTGTGGTGCAGTGGCAATGTCCCTACCTCTGAACCTGAAGGTTCTTGTTCAAGTCCCATCTACTCCAGAGACATGAGAACATCTTTGAACAGGTTGACTTAGGAAAATATCTCACAGGAAATAGCTGCTGGAGTAGGCCATTCAGCCCCTCAAGCCTACTTAACCCTTCAATTAGATCGTGTCTGGCTTTCTACCTCAGCATCATTTTCCTGGACTATTCTTTGATATCTTTAATATCTCAGAATCTATCCATCTCTGTCTGGAACATGCTCAGTGGTTGAGCTTTCACAGCCCTCTAGGGTAGAATACTCCAAAGATTTACCAAATAAAAACCGAACTGCGGATGCTGTAAATCTGAAACGAAAACAGAAATTGCTGGAAAAGTTCAGCAGGTCCGGCAGCACCTGTGGAGAGAAATCAGAGTTAACGTTTCGGGTCCAGTGACCCTTCCTCAGAACTGGACCCGAAATGTTATCGCTGATTTCTCCCCACATATGCTGCCAGATCTGCTGAGTTTCTGCTTTTGCTTCCAAACGTTTAACACCCTCTGACTGAAGAAAGTCGACCTTATCTCAATTCATCCTGCCCCTCATTCTGAGACTGTCTCCAGCCTCCATCGCTAGGGGACATAAATTTCCTGTGTGCCTTCCAGCAATTGGTATTTAAGTAAAAGCAAGGGACAGAAAAATTATTTCTGGGTATTCACAGACGAATGAGTATGCATTGTAGCGCCTTCAGACTAGCTGCTTAGGAGGGGATACTGTACTCCCCTCTGCTAGTGGGGGGTGCGATTGTTTTCCATAATCCGAGCTAACTGATAATGTGCCCCTGTTGCAGTATGCCCGGGCAGATGAAGTGGACAAGTTGAAGAAGGAGTACCTAGATGGAGTATCTGCTCTGAAGACCTTCGTGGAAACAGCGAATGAGAAACAGAACTCCCCAGTGGACGTGTCTTTCCTCAATATCAAGACTTATGTGCAAGATATGGAGGTGCGTATGTTGAGTGAGTGGGTCAGATTTGGCGCCTGGGTGTAAAACAGGATTGCAGTCGGTACGCTTGGCACCTCTGCAATGTCAATTTAATACCCAGCCCATAACTGGAAGTCTAACGCCAGGGCACTTTCAAAGAGGGTGGAGGACTGACGTTTGTCAGGATGGAATGAAGTGGGAATTAGAGAGAGCGAGAAAGAAAAACAACTTGTTTTTAATTCGTTCAGACAACGTGGGCATTGCTGGCTGGGCCAGCATTCATTGTCCGTTCCTAGTTGCCTGTGAGAAGGTGGTGGTGAGCTGCCTTCTTGAACCAATACAGTCCATGTGCAGTAGGTAGACCCTCAATGTCCTTAGGGAGGGAATTCCAGGAGTTTGACCCATCGACACTGAAGGAACAACCATATTATTTTCAAGTCAGAATCTTGAGCGACTTGGAGGGGAAATTGCAGTTATTGGCATTCCCATGTGTCTGCTGCCCTTATCCTTCTAGATGGAAGTGAAAGGTGCTGTCTTAGGAGCCTTGGTGAATTTCTGCAGTGCACCTTGTAAATAGCATACACTGCTGCGACTGAGTGTCAGTGGTGGAGAGAGTGAATGTTGTAGCTGTGGTGTCAAGCCAATAGAACGTTTACACTGAAATAACTGTTAGATGCAATTTTATTTTGTGTGAAAGTTTGCATCTGGAATATTGAGGTAAAAGCATAAGGAGACATTGAGCAAGAATATTCCTTAAAAGCAAAATGGTAAATGGGCCATATGTGAAACGTTCCTCTCCCTGACTAATAAGTTTGCAGAGCATGTGTACCTGTGTGAAATAACTCCACACAGAAGCCAGTATCTGTCACCAAGTCTCCCCATATTCCTACAAGAGCAGTCCTTGACTTTAGCACTGTCTCATTCAGTGTCAACGATCAAAGTTATCAGCATCGCTGACATGCCCCTTTTTATTTATCAGCCGGGCCCCTCTGATTGGACCAGATTAACGGCCCCAAGAAAGGAACTCATATTCTATGAGGTCCACCTGGGCTGACCACATTTCAATCGTGACACTGTGCATGTGTGTCTTTCAGTACTTGTTCTGTGCATATTCACAAAATATTTACATTTGCATGTGTGCGTGTAATGGGGATGTGAGCACTCGTAAAACTGTCACCCAACGTATACAGAGAACAGGTACAGAAAAACCCAGTGTTGGCAGATAGTGTGCCTGCTCAGTGCAGGTCTCGAATGATCTTGTGATTTTATTTATCACTGATGAATGGGCTTGAGCATCTTACGGGGATCCAGTGGCCCAGTGGTATCATCACTAGATTATTAATCCAGGAAACTCAGTTAATGTTC